GAAGTGTGCCTTTAGTAAAGGTCTCAACCTCTGTTGATTCACTATTGTTGCTAATCCTTTGTTGATCCCTTCATTGTATTTAATTCATTGAGAATACAATTAGTAAACCTTATGATGTTGACTCTCTTTTTATGCTGAGGCAGCCAATTTTTCTGTTTTGAATTTGCATTTTGTATGATATGAGAACAGGAATGAGCTGAGTTAATCAAACCATGATTAGCATGGTAAATTTTGTCTATTCAACATATGGTTGCAAAAAAGAAAGAGTGCAAATATATTGAGAATTCGTGTATTTATTTTCAGGTGTGTAGTGATGAATGTGTTAAAAATCATGATAAATCAGAGGCAAAGATCGAAACATGTCACTTATTTTTTGTAATATCTCTAAAACTGTATATCAGGGTTCATAGTAATTATGTACAAAAGATTTGAACTTATACTATACCAATAAAATATACATCGCGTTTGAAAAAAAACGGCATAACTGAAAATGAACTATTTAATAAGTTGGTATAGTAATGAGTAAATGTGCATTGTAACATACGTTGATTATTGTTGAATCTTTTAAATATATAGTTCATTTCATCACAAAGAACTTATGGAGTATATTAATTTATCTATATTAAAATCGGTGATGATTCAATAATGTTCCGTGTTATTACGGTTATATTATCTAGAGTCGCATTATACGGAGTGTTCAATAAGAATAGGGAAATTTTAATAAGTGTTAGAAAACCTGAAGAGCTACAAAAAAAAGGTTCATATAAACATTGGCCCAATAATTTTCAGCCGAAAATCATGAAATCCAAGTTTTGCTGTTTTTTATCCAAGTTTTTTTAAGTTTCGTGTTTTTGTTAAATAGAAAGCGATAACTAAAGATCTATTTTATTTAAGTAATTAAAAATTGTTTTAATGTAAACTAGACCAAATTTGCTTTGGCAAAAGCAATGTTTCTCATCGTTAAACCATTTAAAGAGGACTTATGACCGGCTAAACTGTGCTAATTCAGTCTTTTAAAAAATCGTAAATTATTCAACAGCTACTCCACTTTTAGAAAAACATTTTCGTTTAATAGGCTTTAAGCATATATTTATTAAGTTGTGATTTATTGAGAAAAATTTTCACTTCAAGTTGTGTAAAAAAATATAGTGATTTTTTAAACCAGTCACCTAAAAGTACACGTGTTTTTAGCAAAAATTACTCCAATTAATTGTTACAAAGCTTTTATTTCTTGTTTTTACCCGATGATTTGGGAGATATTATAGTAGCCATAATTGCCTAAATACATTTTTTATTTTAAATTATTTCACTCAACCCTGAGGTGGGCCCCATCACCGATTATATTACAAATGTGGAAAAAAACAAAAAAAACAACATTCAGAAACGACAGAAATCAAAACACACCTTTCAATGCTTTTTAGAAGTAAAAGGACTATTATGAAGGCAATGAAAATCCTAGGATTCAAGACAAAAAAACAAAAAAAAAAGGGTTATGAAAAAAACAATATTTACAATTTTTTTTTTCTTAAATAATGATATTTCAAATATTTTTCCGGTAAAGTGGTTATGAAATTTTGTTCTTCGATCAGATCTCTATTGTCGGAATTGATGCATACTTATAATTGTCGAACTAAATCTTCGCGATACTAATATTTAAGTTTTCATGAAAATAATTGAGGCAATCAAAAAGTTTTTGTGTCTTAAACGTAACTTTTTGGACTGGTAAAATTTAGTTTGTCACTTATGAATAAGGATCAACTCCTACAATAGAGGTCTGGATGGAAAAACGCAATTTCATGACCACTTTACCTGAAAAAATATGTGAAATATCATTATTTAAGACAAAAATATATAAAAATAAGAAGTGTATTTATGCAATTATGTTTATTATAATACATCCTAAATAATGGGAAAAAAGTTAATAAAAGCTTTTTAATAATTAATTGCAGTTATTTTTGCTGAAAATACATGCACTTTTAGGTGACTTAGGTTAAGAAAATATATTTTTTTATACAACATGAGGTGACATTTTTTTTTTTTTTTGGGGCTCTTGAAGTCTGTTGTCACTTCTATTTAAATTTTCTTTTACTAAAGCAAACAATTTGTAATTACTTAAGTTAAATAGTTTTTAGTTACTTAAATTAAATAGTTTTTTTTAGTTATCGCTTCCTATTTAACAAAAGCATGGCACTTTAAAAAAATCCTAAACCGGGCAAGGACGACTTCCTCTCTGCGAATACTGCGACCAGAAGAACTCCAAGGCCTGACATATTTCTTTATTAGTGTCAGTTTGCTTGGAGCTCTCTTATCCCATACGTGCTGTCATTCCTTTTGGATACTCGCTTTAAGCGGCCGTGAGAGATCTGATGGTGTTAGCAGGGTCCTACCGCGACCTGGGAGCGTGAGTGCTTCTTTTGCTGCTTTATCGGCCATTTCATTGCCTTTTATAGCAACATGTCCAAGTACCCATATGTAGTTAACTGATTTCAAGTTATAAATGTTCCTAATTCAAGTATTCGTAGAATTCCAGGATGTGAATAGATTTTTAGTTATCGCTTCCTATTCAACAAAAAACACGACACTTAAAAAATCGCAAAACTTGGATTTCCTACTCTTCGGCTGAAAATTGGCCAATTATTTATATGAACTTTTTTTTCAAGCTTTTAAGGTCCACTATCACTCCTGTAAAAATTTCCCTCTAGTTACGGGACATCCTGTATATGCTAATTAATAAAATTCTTAAAATATAGGGATGAAAATTATCACTATTATACACGGAAGATTATAAAATAAAAGACCATTCTTGAGAACGAATCGCCCATTGAAACGAAATATTCAGAATATAGATTTTTGGTGAACTATTCTAGATTTTAGCAATATAGTGTGCTTTATATTATTCAACAAATATTTCGTCCGATTGCACCGGATTTACATATGTAATTTAAATAAAAAATTAAGTTATATTTTATTTTCGTGATCCCATCATTTCTCCTTCTGGAAATTTGTCATGAAACCGACCAATATAATTTTGAATTATTATTATTTTTTTTTTTTTAATTTAAGATGACTTGTTTTGAGTTTTTAAAAATTTTGGAAACAGGTATAAAATACTCTTGTACTGAGGTTGTAAAGTTATATATCAAATGAAAGCCTATTTAACAAAAAACCTTAAAAATGAGATATCAAACATCCGTCTAGTACAATGACTTATAACTTTACAAGAAATTTGTGATTAAAAATATGTTAGAATTGCGATGTTTACTGAATTTAAAATAAAAAAAACTAGTTTGGAAAAAAAAAATGTTTTTATTCATATAAATCGAATTTGTATTATGTTTCATTGGGTGATTTGACATGGAATGGCCCACATAAAATATGGTTATTTATGTCTCGTTTCAAGATATGTTTTGAACTATTGATTTAAAAAAATATAATTCCTTTACACAACTAATTGTTATTATTAGTACTCCTTTGTTGTACTTGAGGATGTGATGCCCTAGAACGTTTGGCACTACCTGGTTGCCACGGAGAAATGGATGTTGACAGTTCCAATTTATACAGGTTGCAACAACCTCTAGGTAGTCGTCAAGACTTGGCCAAAGACCCACTTTTCTACCTGTACCAGTCGCAATTGTCAGATTGTGTTTAATCATTTATACAAATGGCAAGGTGAGTAAAAATGGAAATCATCAAAGGATTGTTTAATTTGATTACCAGGAATACTTCATGGTGGTTTTTTATCTGCGCAAGGAGAGAAAAAAAATTAGGCCCTGATTTTTATGATGAAAATCAGAAGACGAGAGCGATAATACTTGACTGAGGACCTCGTAAGTGAACCTTTATAACTTGACCAAAACCTTCCTAATTTCTCTCTCTTTTTCTTGCTGTAAACTAGCCTATATTTAAACTATAAATAAGGCTAAGAATATAGTTGATAAAACATGAAAAATAGTTTTATAATGTAAGCATATACGGTTGTAGAACGTTATTATAATCAACTAATTTAATGTTATGACGAGCTCAAACATTTGTTTCCCTTGTTCATTGTTGATCTTGTTTTGTTGCCCTGTTGCCTGAATCGTTGTAACGTTGACAGGTTAAGTGTGCATATTTATTTTATGAGCTGAAGGTATTTTCAATTAATTATAGTCACTGGTACAGACCCCTTTCTAACAATTTATTAACATCCGTCTAAAACTTCGTAAAGGGTTTCGTTTTATTGTAACCTTCAAAATTTTTATCTACGAAAATTCTCAGAAAATAGCGTTTTTTAATTAATTTAGTGAGATAATAAAAACTCATGAATACTTATTTGCTATCCACTTTAATCGTAACACAATTTTATCACAAGAAAAGAATCGAGAAAAACAGTGGCCTACAAAAATATTGGGTCGTTTAGTCTATATAATTTCATTCGTATTCCATTTCATTTCATTCGGCCCAATTTTTTCGTAGGCCACCTTTCTTTTTTTTATTCTTCACATTTCGATAAAAGTATCTTACGGTTTGATTGGAAAACAAATGAGAGTTCCTATGACTTATTAATACATTAAATTAAATTATTATTAAATTAAATTTAACAGATCGTTACACAATTAACCGATCTCGAGATTGAAAACGTTCCCTCCCTCGAGAGAATTTTTCGTAGACAAATATGTTGTAGGTTACATTAAGATGAAGCCATTTACGAAGTTATTAGGGTGTTAATAACTTCTGTCTGTACTGCGGTCTATTACTTTTGTATCTTTTATTTTTTACATAAATTAGTCCATTATTCAACAATATTTTATTTATAAGCTATTAATTACGACGTTTCGACCATACTAAGGGCCATTTTCAAGTCTTAATGAGTCCTTCGTTAGATATTCCTTATTATTATCACATTAATCTTCAGTGAGCAAATTAATAAGTAGTTATTAATAGTATACATATTAAAAAGAAGTTTATTTTCTTTTCAGGTTTGCGGTAAATGGCGGGACGTGCTGTACCGGAGCCCCCGCATGTGGACGAACCTGATGCCGAGCGTGCGGTGCAAGGAGCTGCACAGCCAGAGTGAGCGCGCGCGGCTCTACGCCTCGTTCGCTAGGAGAGGCTTCAGGAGCCTGGCGCTGGTCGGAGCGAGCGATGAAGACGCTTTGGACCTCATCCACACCTACCCCCTCTCCGGCAAGCAGCTCACCTGCCTCAGCCTCAGGTGTTCCAGCCTCACCGACCGGGGTCTGGAGGCCCTCATAGACCACCTACAGGTAAGTGATTCCACTCTTATACTAGCTGATAATGAAGGAGTCCTTCGTCAACAGTGCTGGGTCTATCTTGTTAAATAGTTCGTATTTTAAACGAGAAAATAAATCATGGATATGTTTAAAAATCTACTTAAATAGATTGAGAAAAAGGTTTAAAGACTCCTTTTACACAGTCAAATTTCTGACCAAAACTTTGTCCTATGCATTTGAGTTAAGTAGTTTGGTTTTCAACCAACAGTGGAGATCATCCAGTGGCCCTACGTAGTATGCGAAAGACGCTCAGCAATTATGTCTGCAATGTTATGTCCCGGGCTGCTAATTAATTGCCGTCGAACTAAAATCTGAACAATGTTACTTTTGTGGATTTTTTTAATGAAGCTTATAAAAATTCCATTTATATATTCCATATAGTTGTTTTTTTAAATATTTGTTTTTCTGTCCTGTAAGTTGATTAGGAGTAAAGAAAGATGGAAATATTGCCAATAGAAGGTCTTAAATGTTTTGAACATCTCTTTCGTGTTATGTATTAGAGAAGTCGGGATGTGGTTTAAAAACAAAAGACAGATGTTTAACAAAGGCTTAGAATTTTCTAAGTCTGACATGATACTATGGCATAAATTGTATGAGACAGTAGTATTTCTGGATGTTGCTCAAGCATTCGATAGTCTTATCAGGGGCTTTTCTACGAACTTAAAACGATACCCCTTCTTACCTATAACCTATTTCTTGTATCATTTCTTTCTTGCAGATTTTTCTCTGTCTGCCAAGGCACAGATCTTTCTACCATTAAATTATCCTTAGCAGGAGTTCCTCAGGAGTCAGTATTCGTTCCTCTCTTATTCATAATATTAACTCACAATTTAACGGTTTACCTCATAGGTTTATCTAACAATACCGAAACTATTACGACTTACACAGACGATAAAAATATCCTAAAAAGACTTTATACAATATACAATACCATCTAACAAAATTAAATTATTGGTTCAAACTTTGGAAAATTTGACTAAACCAAGACAAATTTCAATATATTACTTTTACTCTCCTACAATAAAGTTGTATTATTATCCGATATATACAGTTCAGTATATATTGTTCTGCTGTTTGTTGGAGATTTGAGGCGTCATCAAGGTCCATGTTTAATTTTTTTTTATTTCATAATATTCAGTTCTATTTTATAAGTGAATAAATTGATTGAAGCCTTGTTATTTAATTAAATGAAATAATGATTTGAATATAAAATTACTTGTTATATGTCATTGAAAATTTCAAAAAAATATAAATGCTGTTGTATCATTGAAGATTTATTAAATCAATTAATGTAAAATGAAATAATAATTTTACTATGTATTGTTTTTACCAGTACAAATATTGTTTGTTTTATCGATATTGTTTAAAAAAATATTATATAAGGATTAAATAGTTTTGGCTGTAGAATGGGTTCGTATAGAGTTGTTTAGTACCGCGTGGGCGACATCCAGATTTAGGCGTAGGGGGAAGTTACACCCTGTGGCAAATGATAACGGAGTTTATAACTCACTGAGCAGTCCGAACTGTAACCAACTTTTCTATTGGGCAAACAGAGATATTGCAAACATGGGGGCTGCTTGCGTACAGCTTAACGTAGCATTTATCATAACTTTTGTCATTAAATTTTGTTCTTAACAAAGAAAGCTTAGAAATACTTAAGGTTGTTCCAAAATTAATAACTTGAAACCTCCTAAACTAAAGTTTAATTTACGATACTAATCTATCGTTAAGCTAAATCGGGGTATCTTCAGGACTCTAATGACTCATATTCTTGTATGCTAGTATTAAACTATCGTTTTATCAGTGATTAGTAAAGTAATATTAGATAGTATAATTAGAAAAATTCATGTACTAGTTCATGCACAGTTACCCTTGTATCTATTTTCGCGTTCTAGCAATTCCCCCAACTGAAAACAAAAATACAGTTTCCTCCAAAAATTTATAAACCGTTAATATTTCCCATTCTAAAAAAAAATTACGGCATTACTTAAAAATTTATAAGAGTAAAAAGATTAAAAATCAACTCATCAAACAAAAATAAATATATGTGTTTTCTCTCAAGATTTTACGTGAAAACCTAAAATGAAATTTGTGAAAAAAAATTAAATTATATAAAAAAAAAACAATGGACTATACATTATTAAAGAAAACAAATTATGCATCAATTTTCTCCACATCAAAAAATAATAAAGGGAAAAAAATGAAATCAATTTTACATTCGATTGATAAGAAAATAAAACAACAATGGCGAATAAACAAAAAAAATTTCTTTGATTAAAAATTATAATGAAATATATGAATTAAAGGAAATGATATTTATGTATCTCTATTTTATTATATATCTCTAACTGTCCAAAATCAATGAATTTACAACTAATTCTAGATAAATAAAATAAACAAATATATTTATAAAATTTAAATACAAAACTGCAAGTGGGCAGTACAGCAATTGGCAACTCTTTGCCTCCAGTAAAGGACTAAGGCAGATTACCTAGGTTGACGAAATTCAGGGGCTTAAAACTTAAAACTTAGCACTTGTATATAGATAAGGCTACTTATACACTCATTATAACCACCATAATGCACTCCACAATAATCAATCCTATAAACTACAACTAAACACTACATTCTACATTAAAACAGCTAATTTAATTTTTTTTTAAATATTTAAAACTACTCAAACCCATTTGGACATAAGCCTCACGAATTTACGGTTCTGCAAAAAAGACCGCACTTACAAAAATTACAATCATTTCAATCCAAAATTTTATGAATTATAACAGCAGCTCCCTGGTACATAAACAACTAAACTTTACATACCGACTTACAATAACCGACTATCGACCAACACATAGATAGGTGGATAGACAGAAAATAACTTTATTCTGGGACACAGTCCCTTGAGAGTAACAAAATAGAACAAAATTAAAAGATTACCTCTGGCTAAAATAAAATCGATCGAAAAAAAGAAATAATGTAAAGAAAATATAAGGTAAACATTCTATATACAAAACAAACGAAACTATATACAGAACAATTAACACTATGACAAGACACATAAAGCTATTTGCACTGATAGACCAGTATACACTTTTAAGAAAACAGAATAGAATAGAATAGAAAATAGAACTTTATTCGGGGACTAAGTCCCCTTAGTATAACAAAGATAAATTAATACACAATAAAATACCAATCTGGCCAAAAACTAACTTAAAAAAATTCTAACTTAATATACATTATTTGAAAAGTAGTATGTAACCACTAAGAAATAAACAAAAAAAATAAATAAAAATATATAAACACACTCATATATATATACATACACACACATAAACATATATATACATATATACACATACATACATAAATGAAGATACAATCTTCTCCAAATTTACTTATTATTACGATAAAAAAAAAAAGAAAAAAAAAGACAGAAAAGAAATTACATATCTATATATATATATATAACTGCACAATTTATAAATAATAGCTATCTAATAGAAACATAATTTAATACAAAATGTAATAATATTTACAGTGATTCATAAAATAATAAGCAAACACTAAGATAAAATAAAATCTCAGGAATAATTGTGGTATAAAGGTAAAAGTAAAAAAGGAACTATATATACGTACTTACTCATATTGCTACACAGTGAGACAAAAAGTATAAAATATAAACTTATATATACATAAAAGAAAAACCAAAACCTGAGGTGAAGAGAAATACAAATAAATAGTAAAAATAATAGTAAAAAATCATTGCTGTTTTATGTTAAAACTTAAACTGTAGGCACCACCATTTACTTCTCACAAATTCAGTTCATAAAATGAAATTTATGGTTGCGAATCGTCTGTTTGGGATGTGAGGAGGTATATGAAGGTTGACAGTGAAGAGGCATGACGGATGTTATATGGTAAAGAATTCCAATAGGTGACGGAGCGGGCTAAGAAGGAACGTTCATAGGTTTTTGTCTTGTGTGATGGAATATAGAGGTCAGAATCACGGGATCTCGTTTTTATTGAGTGGACTAAAGGTTTCGGCTTGAGGAGACAGTAGATATAGGAAGGTTGCTGGGAGTTAATCGTTTGATATAAGAAATTTCCAAGGAAGTATAGGCGGCGGGAAGAGGGGAAGAGCCACTTAGACTCGGAATATAGGTGGGACACATGAGACCATCTCGAAGTGCCGAAGACAAATCTTAAAGAACAGTTCATGATTCTCTTCAGTCTGTCCTCAAGCTCCAACAAGAGGCCACCATATACCACACAGCCATAGTCAAAGTAGGGGAAAATCAATGAGGAAACGAGGAGCTTGCGGATAGGTTGTGGGAGATGCTGACGAGAACGATGAAATAGTTTAAGTGTACCAATTGACCTTCTGGAGATATGAGCAATATGGGGTTTCCATGATAGGTTTTGATCAATGGTAATTCCTAAGTTTTTTACAGAGGGGGAGAAGGAGATAGGTTGGTCATTAATAATCAAGGAAGAAAAGGTGGAGATGGACCTAAGGAGGGAGTTGGAACCTATAAGAATTGCCTGAGTTTTTGATGCGTTTAAGTTTAAATTATTCAAGCTTGTCCAGGCACTGATCCTATCTAGGTCTTTCTGAATATTCATAAACGCTTCTAATAACTCAGTGGGCGGAAAGGAAAGATAAATTTGGGAGTCATCAGCATATAGATTGTATGAACAATGGTGGATTGAACTAGGAAGGTCATTGATGTAAGAATTAAAAAGGATAGGAGAAATGCTTGAACCCTGGGCTACTCCATGAGACAAAGTGAGGAAAGAAGATAAGGTTTGATTCGGAATACTAACAGCTTGAGTCCTGTCAGAAAGGAAGGATTGGAACCATAGGATAGAACTATTGGAGAAGGATAATGATTTTAATTTAGTGTAGAGGATAGAATGGTCTAAGGAATCGAATGCTTTGGAGAAGTCCAGGAGTACCAGTACAGTCAGTTTTCTTTCGTCAATTGCAGTATGTATGTCGTTGGTGATTTTGGCTAAAGCGGATTGAGTGGAGAAGCCCGGGCGAAAGCCAG